GAGAGAGAGACAGAGCGAAAGATGGGGAGGGATTGAGGTCTGGGGAAACTCGTGTGGACCAGTTTCTGCTTTGGTTGTAATATTTCAAAAGGAATCGGCGCAAAGGAAAGTTGTCAAATGTTTAATGTGACTTTTTTTTTGAAAACACAACATTTCCAGGTACAAGAATTCTAATTTGCAGGTCATTTGGAGGTCGGTGGAGGGATTTTGATTAACGAAGTTATGGAATATTTGGACTGAGTTTTTTAAAAAAATTGGGCAACCAATGCAGCTTTAATTATCTGTACAACTTACAATCTTATAGCACCTTCAGGGCACCTCTCAGATGCATTATCAACCAAAGCGTGACACAGTCTCATATGAGGCATTAAGGCAGCTGGCCAAAATCATAGGCTCCGTACAGTGTGGAAGCAGGCCATTTGGCCCATTGAGTCCATACTGACCCTCCCAGCCAAGCCTAGTCCCCTATTCCTGTAATCTTGCATTTCCCCATTGGCTAGCCCGCACATCTGTGGACGCTATTGGGCAATTTAGCACAGCCAATGCACCCTAACCTACACATCCCTGGGCACTATGGGACAATTTAGTGTGGCCAATCCACCCTAACCTGCATATCTTTGAACTGTGGGAGGAAACCCATGCAAACACAGGGGGGATAACATGCAAACTCCACACAGCCTGTCACCCCCGAGGTTAGAATCGAACCCAGGTCCCTGGCACTCTGAGGCAGCAGTGCTAACCACTGAGTTACGATGCCACCTCAATCTGGATTCATCCCTGCTGTTGGGAAGGCTGGCCTTTAACTCATTTGAAGATCAGCAGAATGAGACAGATTGAAACTGATAAGATTCTGAGGATGTTTTCCCCTTGTTGGGGTCTCTTAGAGAAGGCGTCAGTTTTAGAATAAGGGGTCCCTCATTTAATACAGAATCTTTTCCCTCATAGGGTCGGGAGTCTGTGGAATTCTCTGCTGTATATCTGAGACTGAGTTAGACAGAGTTTCGATTGACGATGGAGTCAGGGCTTGTGAGGGAAGAGGCAGGAGGGTGGAGTCAGAGCCACAATTGGATCATATGAGTTTGGTGGAACCAGTTTGAGGGGCCTGTTGGCCCAGTTTCAGCATCGGTAGGTTTTCGAGATGGGAGAATGAGACAGAGAGGTTTGGGGAGGGAGGCTGAAGGCATTAGCTGGCAATGAATGAGGCTTGGAAATGAAGGGTGTTGAATGAGATGAGTTGCAAAAGTATTCCCAATTGTTGGAGTACAGAGATTGTTAGGGCTGGAGGAGGCTGCAGAGAGCGAGGGAGTTAATGGTAAGAGAGAAGATCTTAGGTTACAGGAGGATAACAGTTGGTCCGATGGTATTTAACTCGGATAAATGTGATGGAGGTGTACAGCATGGAAACAGACCCTTCGGCCCAACTCATCCATGCTGACCAGATGTCCTAAATTAATCTAGTCCCATTTGCCAGCATTTGGCCCATATCCCTCTAAACCATTCATGTACCCATCCAGATGCCTTTTAAATGCTGTAATTGTACCAGTCTCCACCACTTCCTCTGGTAGTTAATTCCATACACGCACCACCCTCTGTGTGAAAAAGTTGCCCCTCAGGTCCCTTTTAAATCTCTCGCCTCTCACCTTTAAACCTGTGCTCCTCTAGTTTTGGACTCCCCTACCCTGGGGTAAAAGACCTTGACTATTCACCCTATCCATGCCCCTCATGATTTTATAAATCTCTACAAGGTCAACCCCTCAAGCCTCTGACGGAAAATAGCCCAAGCCTCTCCCTATAGCTCAAACCCTCCAAACCCGGCAACATCATTTTCTGAAGAAGGGTCCAGACCCGAAACGTCAGCTTTCCTGATCCTCTGATGCTGCCTGGCCTGCTGTGTTCCTCCAGCTCCACACCTTATTATCAACATCCTTGTAAATCTTTTCTGAACCCTTTCAAGTTTCTCAACATCTTTCCTACAAGCAGGGAGACCAGAACTGAACGCAGTATTCCAAAAGTGGCCTTAGCAATGCCTGGCAATATGTAACAAATGGCAGGGCACTGGATAGTTTAGAGGAACAGAGGGATCTTGGGGTAATCATTCACAGATCCCTGCTGGTGACAGAACAGTTGAATTAGATAGTTAGGAAAGCAAATGAGACACTTGCTTTCATCAACAGTGGTATAGAGTATAAGAGCAGAGAGGTAATGCTGGAGTTGTACAGAGCGTTGATCAGGCCACAACTCGGATACTGTGTGCAGTTCTGGTCACCTCACTACAGGAAGGATGCGATAGCCCTAGAGGTGGTACAGAGGACATTCACCAGGATGTTGCCTGGGGTGGAGAAATTCAGCCATAAAGCTAGATCAGATAGGTTTGGATAGTTTTCTTTAGAGCAGAGAAGACTGAGGGGGGGGACATGATTGAGTTGTATGAGGGGTATGGAGAGGGTGAATTGGTTGAGGGGTCAACAATGGGGGGGGGGGGCGGGGGGGCGAAGGGGCAACTAAAGGCAGGATGTTTAGAGGCAATTTGAGGAGATGAATTTCACCCAAAGGGTAGTGGGAGGAAGCTGGAATGCACTGCCTGGGAGGGAAGCTTGAGGCGGGAAACCTCACACAACCTTTTAATAAGTACAGTGGACAAGCGCTTGTAACATTCAAGGATAGCAGCTGAGTGCTGGAAAGTGGGACTGGCGTCGATAGGTCAGCGTGGACCTGATGGGCCGAAGGGTCTCTTCCTTGCTGTACCACTCTCTGACTCCTGCGATGACCACCAACCCCCCTCTTCAAACAGCATTTGTTTCACCTCCGGAAAAAGCTTATCCAAGAATTCATTTCCTCCCATCAGACGTCGCTTGTGCCAGGGTTCAGGAGATTAATTCCCAGGGGCTTTCTTTTTTTCAAAAAAAAGGAGTAATCAACCCACGTCTGGGGCTTGAAGCCAGATCTTCTGGCCTAGAATCTGGGACATTCCCACTGCACCACAAGATATCTTGAATGTGCTTGCCACTTCACCACAGATAGGCAACCAAGAGACAGCTTTTGGTCCTGTCGTTAGCACCAGATCTCAAATGAACAAATTAAGAAAGTACAGCATGGGAACAGGCCCTTCGGCCCTCCAGTGCCGACCGGCATGCCCCAATTAATCTAAAAACAAACCTGCCATTTCTCGATCCGTTTCCATCTATATTCCTTCTCTATTCATGTGCCCGTCTAGGTGCCTCGTAAATGTCTCCGAAGTGCCCGCTTCTGGCACTGCATTCCAGCCTGCTACCACTCTCTGCGTGGAAAACTTCCCTCGCACATCTCCCTTAAACTCTCCCCCTCTGACCTTGAACCTGTGCCCCCTTGTAATTGAAACGTCAAGCCTAGGAAAAAGCCTCTGACCATCCGCCTCTCACAATTTCGTAGACCTCTATCAGGTCTCCTCTCAGCCACTGACTTTCCAGTGAAAGACGGCAGATGAGTTTTGTTTGAGCCATGGCTTCTGGCTATCATGCAGATGCCCCGGTTTCTTGGCTGCATTACAGGACACAGGAGTGGATCCCACAGCCTTTTAAAACTTCTCTGCTATTCTATAATGATTGCAACTGATCTTCAACTCCACTTATCCACCTGTTTGCCCTGTCCCTTGATGGCCCTGAGTGGCCAAAATCTGTCTAATATACTCAACAATGGAGCATCTACACCTCTCTAAAGAGTGAACAATCTCTTCTCAATTTAGTCTCTCGTTGATCGATTGGCAGGATCGCAAGAACGTGTCAAAGCTGGGGCTATTTTCCCTGGAACATCGGAAGCTGAGGCGCTGACCTTATAGGAGGTTTACAAAATCATGAGGAGCATGGATAAGGTGAGTAGCCAAGGTCTTTTCCCCCCAGGGTAGGGGAGTCCAAAACTAGAGGGGCATAGGTTTAAGGTGAGACGGGGAAAGACTTGAAAAGGACCTGAGGGGCAACTTTTTCACACAGGGAATGTGGAACGAGCTGCCAGAGGAAGTGGTGGAGGCTGGTACAATTACAACAGGCATAAAAAGGATGGGTATTTGAATGGTCTAAGAGGGATATGGGCCAAATGTCGGCAAATGGGACTGGATTAAAAAATTTAGGATATGTGGTCGGTATGGACGAGTTGGACCACAATTCCAAATAAAAGATGGACTGGGACCGTACTGATTGGAATTTAGAAGAATGAAGGGGGCTATCTCACAGAAACATACGAAATTACAAAGGAAACAGATAAGATAGAAGCAGTGAGGTTGTTTCCACTAGAATTGGGGGGCATAGCCTCAAAATAAAGGGGGGAGCTGATTCAGGACTGAGGAGGAACTTCTTCACCCAAAGGGTTGGGAATCTCTGGAATTCCCTGCCCCAGTGAGGTGAAACTCACTGAAGGCAAAGATAGATTTTTGGAATGGTAAAGGGATTAAGGATTACGGTGAGCGAGCAGGTAAGTGGAGCTGAGTCCACGAAAAGGTCAGCCACGATCTTATTGAATGATGGAGCAGACTCGAGGGGCCCGATGGCTTGTTCCTGCTGTTGTTTCTTACATCCTTATGGAGGGTCTGTTGCCATCCTCTGTGACTGAAGACGACTTGGTAGATTTAATATCATCAGCTGCTAAATTGCCCAGGGTGAGGTTGGGGGCGGGGGATGGGAGTGTCAGTTCCACACCTTCAGTTTTCCTAAGGTATTTAAGGATTTAATAAAGGTGGCTTTGGGACTTCATGAGGGAACACTATTCCTTGGCTCCTGCTCCCAAATCTCTGCTCAG